CTCTCTCTCTCTCTCTCTCTCTCTCTCTCTCTCTCTCTCTCTCTCTCTCTCTCTCTCTCTCTCTCTCCTACTCAAGAGCGTTTAATTGTACATTACTTTTGATTTATTAGTCTCCTGGAACATTGAGGGACAAATATATTTTGTAAAAATATAAAATAAAGAAAAAAATGTGTGTAATATCCATGTATGTCTTAAGAACTCGATTTAAATAAACTAATATTTTAGTAAACAGACAGTTTATATAAAAAAGTTACGGATATTGACCATAAAGAAAAAAAATATTTGTTTTTATAATAATATGTTATAGTACTAGTATTATTAATACATAGGGACAATCTGTTACAGACGAAATTGAATATAGTTATGGAAACACATACATAATAATTGAAAAATATTACAATTTAATATCCCTAACTTTTCTCTTGTGCATAATAATATAATACATTGTAATCAAAATATTCAATACAAGCTTTTTTTTACACCGACAAAAAAACAGAAGAATTGAAAGAATTAAATACGTGAAATATATTATGCTTCTAGTTTGTTCTGGGTGGCTTTTCTTTGGGGCTATGTTAAAACTTTACGATAATAATTTAAACGCGCACATTTTATGTTGAATTACGAATATGTTTTGCATTATTATCCATCTGTAAATAAAAAAAAAATAATCCATTAATAGATTATTGGGAGAACTCAAACTATACATCTCGTTAGTGGAGTTATTATATATAGATGGATTATTTCAAATATATATGTTAGAAATACAAAAATTAGTTTTTAGTATTATTTTGCATTATTTGAGCGTACATATTTCACTTTTTGTTTGTATTTCAAAGAAATGTTTATTGGATTAACGATAAACAAAATTACAGATAAAATCTTATGTATTATGTACTTGATATTATTATATATACTTCTATATAACATAAAGTTTTATACATAAATTTATATAATATATATATTATATTATATATACATATATTATATTATATATATATATATATAATATATATATATATATATATGAAAAAGTTAAATAATGTTGTTTTTAAATCGTCAAATGTGTATTCCAATTTTATGTTCTGAATTATTTTGCACAAATAATACAAATTTGTGAACAACTTATTAATACATTATTAATAAGTTAATTAATTATTTCTCGTATCGTTTTGTTTTGTAAATTCTATATGCAGAAGATGATGCTAGTTTTTAAAAACTATTAGCAAATATAAAATATTTTCATAAATATATGTATCATAGAGCATTTTGTTCTTTCTCTCTCTTCTCTCTCTCTCTCTCTCTCTCTTCTTTCTTTCTTTCTCTCTCTTCTCTCTCTCTCTTTCTTTTTCTTTCTCTCTCTTTCTGTGTAAATCATCTCGCTGCATTTACATTAATAACAATACGCTCTCCAATATGTTGTAAGATCTGTTAATAAATGTAGATCAATTTTTTTAAAAAGAAACTAGATTTCATTTGATTATGGTATTGTATGTAATTACAGAATGTACTTATACTATTGTATATACCATAACATATTAGAAGAATAATTGTAACGAACTCTATGGTACTTTATTTGATGTATTTAAATGAACATGTACCAACAATCTTATATCGGAAGAATCATAAGGTACAAAGCACTTAAAAATTGGATAAAACATATAGCGCATTGCGTTCTTTGATCCAACGAGGATATCCGCATGTGTACATGATTTATTTTCAATCATTGCTTGTTTTTAAATCTACAATATCTACTATTCATAGGTGTAGTTGTCTCTTTGCATGGACAAAATGTTGATTTAATTTAACATAAATAAGCTTGAAATAAGAAAGAAAATGTAAATTAGTATTAATATTGTAGATAAGATTGGATGAATCTCGGAGTAAACAAATTCATCCATGTTAATAGTATATCAGAATTCTTTCGTGTTGCCTTTCCATGAATAAGTATCTCTAGCCTTTTCTTGGCAGTAATGAAAGCAAGTTATCGATGTATTTTACAAGTTTAATTGACCTTTTAAATGCACTAGATTTTGTTATGAAATATTAAATGCTGATAGGAAACCAGCTCTACTTCCTTATAATAATTTTATTCATAAAGGGAATGAATGTAACATGTTGGTAGAAATTATAGAATAATAACCGACAACGATTTTATTAAAAAAAGAAAAAGGACAAAAAAATTTCTACATAATCGTATAGCGAGCGTTTAGAAAGAAACCATACCCTTTGGTAAGATAAGTAAATTGAAAATAAATTTACAATATATTAAATATTTATGAGACGCAAGCAAGTAAACTATGTTATAGAAGAGACTCCTGATTGGCTGTAAATAATAAAATGCTGTTACATGCTATAATGAAATTCAGAAGAAAAAGGTAAAGAATTAGTAAAAAAATATTTAAACGTATTATCGCTAAATGAATGGATATTGCCAGATGTTGTGCCGCATGCACTTGCAATGAAATAGCGCATATTTATACCTATTTTTCCATATGAAACTTCAAGTAGATTTTTCGGCGTCTTTCATATTTCAAATTTTTGAGAATGACTAGAAAAGTACGGACATCTAATGCATTAAATAAGATCGCAAGATACTAAGACTTCTTACAGGCATATTTGGAACACTCAAAAAGGAAGTTAAAGGTTCGTCTTATCGGTATACTTATTATTTATGATACTGTTTTATAATAAGATAAATATCAAGTAACAAAAATAATTAATAAAGCAGATGTGGGGAAGTACTATTAAGGAAAATAGATAGCGTTTTTAAACGTTTCTTATAATAAATGAAAAATACGTACTTTCCCATAGACAATTATATTCTACATATTTCTATGTAATTATGAAAGATGAATAACAAATCTGAAAATTTAAAAAGAAACTAATTGTAAGTAACTTATTAAAATGCTATTTTAAACTGTCAGCAAACAGAAAATTCTTTCAATTAGGTAGACATTTTCTAAAAAAAAAAAAAAAAAATAAATATTCGTGAATTTTTTCTATTAATAGATTTGAAGAAATTTCTTGCAAGCTATTGTACATATGTCTTGTGAGCCGTATTAGATTTTACAAATTTTTAACAACATTTTTAAAATCCGTGTGCCTAATCGCAGACCCGATCTATAAAATAAAACATAAAATCTTTGATAGCTTAATTGTTCTCTAAAGAAAAGAATTTACGTTGATAAAAGAAAGTTGTATATAAAATATATCTTATATGAGAAAAGAAAAGAATTTTAATTTTATATTCTTTTTCATTTTCTTTCTCTGTGTAATCATTTTAAATAATAATTATTTGGGCAGAATTTCATTGAAAATAAATTACTATTAAATTTGTGTATATACAAATCTAGATTTAAAAGAACAAAAAAAAGGAGAAAGAAAAAATCTAGAAATGATTTAGATAATTAGAATTAATTTAGATAAGGGAATAAATGTTGGGCCAATGGCAATACCATCGAAACTAATATGTTAGTAAATTTTCAAAATGATCATTCGTATAAACATAATGAATTTACAATTTGATTAAACAACACACCTTTTTTCGACTCATTTTATTGAATAATGAATAATGTATGATGGTAGAAAGTTAAGACAAAATATATTATGTATAATGAAAACAAAAATAAAGTAAATGTGACTTTCGTATTTACATATGTACATACATACATGCATACATATATACATATAAATAACTTCCCTTCCATCGATACCAAATAATTATCTTCTAAATAAATTTGTTTTTTATATTAAATATTTTTCTTTTTCTCAAGTAACAATAATAATAATAAATTCCTATGTTGGGTGTATATGCACGCGCGCGTATATATACAACATTGGTTGTATATATACAGACAACAGATAGATCTGTTTTGATTAATGCGAATGATACATAACTATAAGTTGCTAGAAAATATTCGAATTTTCGTAAGTAATCCATCATTGATATTGAAATGTATTACGTATGACAAAAAGTGCAAAGTATACTTAACATACTTTCGAATAAATGTTCACAGCCGCTTATCAGCTTGTTAATTGAGTGAGTTTCATGATTGATAAGCGTGAAAATATTTGTATGTACATGAATAAAAGGTAGCACGAATGGTAACCACACATGAATATATAGACTAATATTTGCTAAACGTTCGTGTCATTAATTAAGAGAGAAAGAGAGTGAAGTAACTATTATATATTTCTTCTTTATATCTTAGACATGTATACGTGTCGGTGACAAGACTAACAATATTACAAACAATAAGAAGGAAACACCTATGAAGAAATATTATCTCTGAAATATTTCGATCGCAAATGTCATGAAAATGTCGTTGTTGATTTAAAGGTTAGAGTGTATGAGCGTTCATATATTTATGTATATGCCGGGAGGTATTAATTAAATAGAAATTTCTCTACAAGCATATTTAAAAAAGATTATCTATAAGTATTGAGATTGACCAGAGATTGATCTTATTTTCTTTGTTTTATGAGATTATTAATATTAAAGCTTGTTAGGTTTCAAGTATAATGGGTATCGATAGCATGAGGGTTGGTGGAGGAAGATGTTCACCTCTTTTAGTTGGAGGACTTTTAATAGCGTGTTTAATGCTTCTTTGTAACTGGTGGACTTTGTCATCTGAAAATTTAGATTTAGTCCACCAAATCGATGAACTCGGTGAGCAGCTTAAAATAAGGTAGTGTATATTACATGTATATAGAAAGTATAATTTTTATAATAATTCATATTACGCTACACTAATATTGTATCAAAGAGTTTCTTAAAAGCAATTCAAATATATATATATGTGTGTGTGTATCATTAACAATTTAAATAAAATTGTATCTTTTATAGCGCAGAAGAAAATGATCAATGTATAACATTACGCAATAAATTAGAGCAAAGATATAGGCACGCAGAAGATGAAGTAGCTTACTTGCACGTATCTTTGGAAAAACAAAATGAGTTTAACAAGAGGCAGAAAGAAAATTTTGAAACTTCTATAGCATTATGTAAAAGAGAATTTGACTCGAATAAGATTAATGAAAAAGAAAAAGAAAATGAAAAACTTCAAGAAGAATTGGACAGAGTGCGTTGCTACTTTTTATGTGAAATATATTATTTGTGTATACAATTATTAATAACATAATTTTTATAGGTCAAAGATGAAATGGAAAAATTAAAACTTGCCTATAATGCCCCGGTTGATAACATTAGATCTGATCCTACGCTAACACGTAAGTTGTTATTTGTATAAAACATAGTATTTTACTTAATATTTTCGTTTTCAATAATATATTTACACATTAAATTATGCGTTCATAGACACACACACACACACACACACACACATATATATATGTATATATATATGCATAATTAAATATATAAATTATAGGAACATTTTTTATTATTTTTCAATTTATTTATTTATTACATGTTAATCTTATTTATATTTGTTATTGAATATACTTAAAAGTAAATTATTAATGCAAGGTTTTATTTATATTTACAAGTAGTAATATTAAAATATTAGAAAGTTGAAATAGATATTGTTATTTATTCAAATCGAATCAAGCTAAATCATTTGTAAAAAGTAAAAAAGCATCGCCTTTTACTTGTAATATTTGACTTATGCTAGTATCATAAAATATTATCAAACTCTGCTGATTTAGCTACAAGAAAGGTCATTGATGGTAGTCAGTTACGTCTTGTTCGGGACTCTGCTATAAGAATATCTGTAGCTGGTCAGCGTGGTTTGAAGTATCATCAAATCCCAATTCTACCATCAGATCCACCCGGTGCTGTGCGCTTAGCTCCTCGTCTTTCAGTAACAATGTTAAAAGGTAGTGGTACTTTCCTTAAAATTCAGGGAAAGAAGAAACTGCCATGAAAATTCAGTAGCTCAATTTTTTTGTTTCCTTTTTTTCATAAAAAAAGCACATATATTACATATCAATCAATAATTTTTTTTTATTCCTATAATTTTTCATAAAGAGATGATTTATAAAATTAATCAAAAATCTAGGAGATTTTCAATCGAAAAAATATAAATATATATGCATTTGCTATTAAAATATGATGGATTTTAAATAGTAATATTAATACTTATATAATATAAGTTTAAATTTTTCATTTAGATTTTATAAATTTGTGTATACTTGTTGTTATTATACGTATGTAACAAATGAACAAATAGAATATACATCATTTTTTTTCTAAGGAAAATTGATATATAATTTTTGTAATATAATTTTTCAGCTGAAAGAAATTCAAAGCTAGAAAGTAGCACGATTGAAGGAATGAGAAATGACAAAACAGAGAAAATTGGTAATAGAAAATTTTAATATATATATATATATGTATATTGGATATATTAAGTTATTAAACAAATATATATTTCTAAGCAAATGTTTATCTTCATTCAGATATAAGTAATGAAGGAAAGAAGGCAGCAGAAACTATGTCGTATGTAGAAAAAAGAAACAATCAATTGAGCAATTAAATATCTCTGTGATATATTATATACTTATTTACTGATGTCTTGTCAATTAAAACATAGGAAATAATGATGATGTATAATATTTCGAAAATAATAACAGATTCATTTTGAAAATAATATCCGAAGCTTCTAATATTTAGTTTTAATTATGTTACATAGCAATGCTAAGTATTATTTTACTTATCCTTTAAAAAATATAATACAACTATATTTGTTTCAGTGCAAAATTGTAGAATAAAAAGATTAAGTATAAGTACAATGTTATAACAATATAATGAATTTTTCTCTTAACACATTAAGTGCCGGTACCGCGTTAACACGGATTTCTTAGTCTATCACTTGAGCACCGGCCCCAAAATGTAGCAGAATATTTTTGCTTCTATGAGTGACTTACATGTTGATTTACACTTTTTAACTCAAAAACCAAAACGTATACGGTTGTTTGGAAACCAATGAAATATTTTCTTTAGCTAATTATTGTTTAGAAACACGTAAATAAGGTCAGCGTTAGGGCTTTTGTGGCTGAAACGTTGCCGGCGCTTAATGTGTTAACATCCATTTCCCTATATATTTAATTATTTATGAGGAAATATTATTATCTAGAAATAACAAGGATTTATTGATACGATAAATTAATAATTTAATAATATTTAAATATGGTAATACATAGAATAATATAAACTATGTAACGTATAAGTGTCATGTTATAAATAATATGATATGTATTGAAAGTAATTGCCAACATCATCGTTATTTTTCTAAATCTTTTGTTACAAATAATTTTTATACTTTTGTTATATTATTTTCTTTTTTGTTTGAACTGTAAAAGAAATAAATTAATAACTTACATTTCAATTCACATTTAAGAACATTACGACGATTGAAATATAGTTATATTTCATACGATGAGTATATTGTGGGTATTATAAAACGCATTATAAGGAAGATTTTATTGAAATATACACATTGTACATAAATAATATTTAAGCTGCACGATTCAACGCTATGGATTGATATCCATATAACAAAATGCAGAATATTTTTGACTAGGATAGTATCAACTAACGACTAGATATTTATTCTGTTAACTTTTTCTTCTTTCTTATGCGATAACTTGGGTATAAAAATGTCTTTAATGTTAAAGACAGATTAAAATATTCGCATGTACCACAAGCTAACTAATAAATAAAAAAATAAAAGAATAGCCTACAACTATTACATATTTACATATGATGGTCTTTGGATTGCTAAATGTTATATATACTCTAATGTCAATATGTCCTGATTGTCCCTTCCAAAAGTCCTTATTTTTGTGCAACTTTTATATCTAAATAAATATTATTGAACTGCAAATTTTATACACAATTCTGATCGTTACATAATACCTCAAATAACTTCTGTTAAATTTAGTATACAAAATTATTATCAATATTTATATTGCCTTCTCACTTATAAAGCTTTTTTGAAAGGAAGATATATAGAAATTTTACTAGCTTAAAATTTTTCACAAGTCAAACGATACGTTAAATATTTATTCTATAAAATATTCATTTAACGTTTTATGTTTCTGCGTATATATATAACATTAATTGGTTTCTTCGTTTAGCGATATATCAATATTTATCTCTTTGGATCTTTACGTTTGCGGTATTGTTTTATAAACCATAAGAGCTTGTATATTTATTAACAGCCTTAGAGATGAGTAATATTTAAGAATAATTTGTTAGACGTACGAAATAATGTCATGTAGAATGTATTGCTATAATACCTGAAAGTTTGAGTTTAAAGTTGTTAATTCTTCTTTTGCTAAATTCTATGTTAAACTTTATCACTCTATAGGGCATGCTACAAAGTTTGTACCCATGTAAGATAAATCTAATATAGAAACATACCACCTCAATAGATGCTTTCTTGTTTCAAAATGACAATGTCCTATGACTTAGGTTTCAGGATAAGGCAGTGTGATGTTAGTAAATAATTAATTTCTAGGAAAGTACTCTAAAAATATAAAAATCAAGACAATTTTTCTCTTCGTTGTAATTTAGCCCAAAAGTAATTGCTTCTCTTTCTATATCTCTAGCTAATGTTAAATATCTACTAAATTCCTTCAAAATGGGTCATCATTATGGAAAATAGTGATGATGATGATGTCTTCGTTTCCTTCTGTATATAAAAGCAAAAATTGAACGAAGACGCCACCAACGACTATGTTTACGAACCGAATTATGTGATCTTTCTTTTGAGCGTATCTGTCGAACTAACGAATAAAAAGAATCGTCTATAAACTGTCGAAGTGCAGCAGATGTTTCATAAAATGGACAGCCTAATTGTTCTGCAAGCGCTTTACCTTCTTCCATAGATACCTAAGAAGAATGTTGCATTGAAAACTTAACGTTTAGATGATACATTACATGCTATACTTTACCTCTCGTTGATGCTTCAAATCAAATTTATTACCAACTAATACGAGTGGAATATGTTCATTAGGCCGTACACGTGATATTGATTTACGATATTCTAAAGCTTCTTGAAAACTATGTCTATCTGTTACAGAATAACATATCATGAATCCTTCGCCGCACCTCATATACTGATCACGCATTGCTGTAAATTCTACCTGCATTCAAGATCACATACAATATACATATATGTTATATCAAATTACTGAATGGACAATGAAAAAACTCCAGACCTGTCCAGCAGTATCTAAAATATCCAAAAGTGCTGCTTCTCCGTCTATTACTGCTTGTTGTTGGTATGAATCCTCTGTTAAAAGCAACAATACTCATTAAGTAGGAAAACATATAATACAAGTCAAATGACATCTTACCTATAGTAGGGTCATGACATTCGAGGAAACTATGACTTACAAATTGCAAAGTTACAGCTGAAAAAGAATCTATATTAATGTACATATTCTGTATGTGTATATTTATTATATATATACATGTACATATGAATGTATTTATTAGATCTGCCTAAATAAGTATATTTCTAATCCAAGCCAATATTTCAATAGAAAAATAAATACCTGATTTTCCAACACCACCATCACCCAAGACAACTATCTTATAAACTCTAAGCCCACTCCTAGTAGTAGGCTGTGACCCTACCGACATGTTGCCCTTGGCGTTTATTGTTGCATTTTTTTCTTGTAAAATGTCAAGTGACATCATAAAAAATTTGTGCAAGTTGAAAATGTAGCCTTTTTTCTACATCTATATTTACCATTGAATACTTTCAATACGAACGCAACATATGTATTTGATCGAACAATAATTTATTTTTGTACAGGCAACCTAACTCCATTTTATTCAAACAAATGAGATTCATGTTTAATCTCATCTGCAAAATATTACATCGCAATACTTTCTTTTAGGCTTTCTCGAAGCTTAACATTGATCATTTAAAGAAATGATTTAAACCAATCATTTAAAAAAAAATGTACCCTTTATGAAAGTTAGACAAGGCATGACTTAAACGCACGGCCCTGACAGAACATTCACGATGATCCACGACCATCCACGAGACAACTCGGAGCAAACCATATATTGACATTTAACGCAGTGGCGACATCTTCGCTTATTTTCGAAACTATCCCTCTCCCCCCCATAGTCGAAAGTACATACACTCTTACGTATTTTTATACTCATTTATTTGTCATATATATATATTACACGTACTTTATATTACAATACAACGAATTATTTGAGTTTCAAGGAAATATCAATTGAACAATTTTATTAATAATGCTACGAATTATCGACGATACACAGGAAAGATGTCAGTTCTATATACAGTCACGCCCTGCATTCTGTTTCTATACTTACTGAGTATGATATATCTAATTATTCCATTTTAGCAATCTTTTCAATAAGGTTCATCGTCAACTGGTTTCTTTTGCGGATATTGCTTATAATACCATTCTAAGTATTCTTTTTTACGTTGTTCACGGCGTGCAAAGTATTTAGGATACATAGCTTTTTCAATTGGATGCCATTTATCTAATAAGCTATCAGGGACTATGGGATCTCGATTATATGCAACACCTCCTGGAGCATCGGGATATATGAACGGTTGAGGATGTTCTTTGTAAAATAATTCCTCTTCTCCTTCATGTAATAGATGCTTCGCTAATCTTAAATCTGCGATACGTGCATTTTTATCGAAGCGTTGGCGAAGTTTTACAGCCTGATATCTAATACAAAAAATAGAAGCGTTCGTCATTTTATACTATTGTAATATATACGATATAACTCGTATGTAATATATATATATATATATATATATATATATATATATATGATACGACAAATGTTAAATAATCGATTATTCATTATAATACCTGAATTCTAATCGATCATGATAATATGCCTTAAGACATAACAAAGCTCGTTTGTATAAGCTACAAACTTTTTGAGAATGACTTACAATTCCTGTTGGTAATTGTGCCATATTTTACAATTTTTTAATTAAAACTTTTTCTTCAATTATAAGATTACATGATCAGAACGAACTATACTTGTATCGTCTTTAACCTACAAATTGAAGAATATTTCTTGTTATATATTTAGAATGATGTATGCAGCGACACTCAGTGGATTTTCCTTAAAGTTTCTCATAATGGCAGTATATTTAAATTTTCCCTTCGTGTTTCCATTTGTAAATATATTTAATATACTCATTTTGTTTGTTAAATGTTCATCTTTAAACATTAATCAGAATAAAATAGGTTTTTAATTAGTTTAAATTTATCGATACTTGTATTCGAAATATATAAGGATATATGATTGATAGTTGAAGTTGCACGCGATTGGTTGACTTATCAGTAGGTCGATTTATTGGTTAATGAGAGGTGCTTATTTTTCTCCTTTTATACATAAAATGTTTTTTTCTTTGAAAAATAATTAAGATTAATGAATTATGTACCTACAATATTAAAACGAATAGATAATAGATTAATCTATATCTATTGAGAAATTAGAATTATAAATTGAAATAGATTTGAAATTAAAACGTTATTTGTCGTTACTTCCGGTTAGAAACTGCGACGGAACTAGAGTAAACGTTAAGCGATGGCGTCGCCCAAACGATATTGTCGTATGCTGTTGTCGTTTCATTAACGGACCCTTTACATTACTAGCTTTTATAGAAGAATTTCTGTGGATTTAAGGTACTTAACAAACTGTTAACGACCGATTCTTACCGAGCGACTGTACGCTCAAGCGTACGATACGTTGCTTTAATTTGCGATTCCATCAAAGCCGTATATGACAAAGATGATGCGCTCTATTATCCAAATTTTCATTTTTGTCGCATTGTGAGGATAAGAATGAAAGATTGCGCGAAAAATCTGTTCAAAATGATAAATTTTATATTTGAATGAAATATGAAATAACATGGAGTCAGCTGGTTGTTTTATATATACTATTGTATATGCAATTTCAAATACATTTTTTGTAATTATTTTTCATGTCTTTTAGTTTTTTTTTCTATTTTCAGATAATAAAAAACGTAATCATACGTTTAGCGGGAAGATACACGATGATGCCAACAATGCCACCAGATACTCATAAAATTTCTTTAAAAATAATAGAAGCTATTAAACAACATCCTGTTCTCTATAGTTCAGAAGTTAAGGGATCTTCTATTAAGCTTCAAGAATTTAAACAAAAAGTTTGGAAACGTATCGCGGATGAACTTGGTCTTGATCGTAAGATTTTAATATATTACTTACTTCATACATTGAAATAGACATTATTTTTTTTATGAGACCATGTTGTTTAAACGTGATATATGTATTTGTGTTATAACAGCAAGTTGGCTAAGATTAAGGTGGAAAAATCTACGGGATACCTATTGTCGCATCTTAAAGTACAAAAATAAGACTGAGAAAGGTGTAAGAAGAAAGAAATGGATTTTTGAAGATCATTTAAGTTTTTTAAAATTTCCGTAAGTTAGTATAAATATAATTGTGATATCAATTATTAATATGTACATAATACATTGAATGTAATTGAGTATATACATATTTAATTAGATACGAACCAGATTATCAACCTCAAACTATAGAATTGTCGGAAGAATATATACAAGACATAAATGCAGGTGGAATAAGTTCAGAAGGTCTGCTGGAACAATTAGAAGATCGCAATGATGAAGATTATGACGAATATATGGAGGTACTTGAAGAAACTATGGCAGATCCAGTTTTAGTGGATACCAGTCCTTTGGAAATGTTAAATGCCAATGATCAACAATTAGAAGAAATTAAAAAAATAGAAAGGGAGCAGATGCAATTACACAATCAAGACGTGGATACTTATGTTCAACAAATACAATCAAAATATAGAAAGATAAGACCTAAAAGATCAAAGGCGGAACATCCAGTACAGAGATCTAGTATAGAGGTGCCTAACACGTATAGTATTTTAAAGACTACTTCCAAAAATAAAAATGTGGTCTCTATCGATAACAATACTATAACCAGCCCTATTTTCGTAACCAGTTCAACTACTACGACTACATCTACCAAGCCTATCAAAGGATTAAATAATATTCAAGAAGACAGAGAAAGGAATCAAGAACAAGTTTATTTAGCTCCGGAAGGGAAAAGCAGTATAGAACTGTTTTTCGACAGCATGGCACAAACCGTCAAGAGATTACCGCCAAAAGCTCAAGCTGATATAAAAATGAACATTTGTAAAATTGTTACAGAGGCAGAGGTACGCTTTTCTGGACAAAATACAGCGCAAAGTACCCAACAATTTATAACGCCGCCAGGCATGATTCCAAAATTGGTATTGATTCCTTGTGATATGATAGACCATCAGAACAATAAAGGTTGACAATTTATAAGTTGTAAATATCATCACTGGGGCAAAATTACTATTGTCGAAAATCTTTTATTTCATTTCCTACTAGTAATATCATAATTTTTTTCCTTGTTCAAATGTTTTCTATTAAAAGCACATTGCGCATAAACTGTATAGGATAATATTTGTATGATTTCTGTATAATTTATGATTGTTTTTATTAAGATTATTTAGATGTATGAATATAATTTATATTTTTAATTATATAATATATTTATAGTGTTGTGTTTTTCTTTTAGTATTTTCATTTCTGTTAATTATTAAAATCTAATGATACGGATATAGAAAATGTTGGATACTTTTTAAAACGAAGTATTGAAAATGCAATGAGTAAACTAATTGAGGATTTTTTATAGTTAACACAATTATACAATTTAAGAAATGAAAATAATTCGAGTTGTACATATATAAGGAATCTGCTGTAAATATTAACAAATACATTTATCCATTATATATTAAGGAATTTTTAATAAAAAGAGCAAATTACATTTATATATATAATAATGTTTAGTAGATAATTAAAAGCGACAAAACATTATTTATTAAACTAGAAACTTTATTGTTATATAATAGCTAAAAAAATATATTAAATATATTAATAGTATCTTTATATTATATTTATCAAGTTAGATAATTATTTGTAATTTATTTTATTTGTTTATATATATTTTCGTTACAATAAATGACTGTATATACTTATATATGTATATATACGTATATATGGGTATTTCTCGACTATACCATTAGAAGATTTCTGTTTTATAGGAAATAAGAGAGTGTGTACAGACGACAGGAAAACCGATCGTGTGTCCCACTTTGGATCCTTGCGAGAAAAGCTTAGATTACACATCGTGGGTCGAAGTAGTTCTTAATGGAAGCTCGACCTCCAGCATAGCTATCGCATAGTTCGTGCAAACCTAATTGGATAGAAATGTAACGAAACCGTTTTGCGTTCTTTGTGGGATACCAGAACTAATTTGATTACTTTCGTGTCAACCATTCACACCCACTTGTCATTCTTTTATGCATTAACTGCTATTCTTAATAAATCTATTGGTAAAATTGATCATTGCCTTCATATATTTGTATTATTAATAACAATTAATAACAATTTTAGCGGTAGATTGCTATTCTTTTATATATGTATATATGTTATATGTATAGCCTTGGAATCAAGTACACATGCTTTCTATCAGCACGAAAGTTTAAAAGTAAAAGGCCACTGTTATCGATAAAAATACATTCTCAATGTTAGCTGTTACATAGGTGATAGTATCATTCACAAATGACCATGTTTTATTTAAACTGTTGAATTGTTTAAAATAACTATTTTAGTTAGGTCATTTTAGTTGGAATATTTTTGTACTTCCTGTTTTTACTTTTAAACTCATACTGATTTAAATACAGAAATAACAGATTAATAATCAAGATGTGTCGATTATTTATTAAAAAGAAGAAATGTTTAATTTTATTCGCATTATTTCGCTCGTTAAGACAATTTTTTACATGCTATCATATTTATCATCGTATTAATCACTCCAAGTAATTATATTAAAATGTTTAGTTATTGCATTGATCGATGTTATTTATACATTAGATCCGATGTATATACATATACGTATAAGTAGTCAAAGCTGTCTTCTATGCCGGGTTATCGATTGCGATAGACTACAGCCAGTCTGACTAGATGCAGAGTCGACTACTGGAGACGAGAGAAGAATTCCTACATGCTTCACAGTCTATTTTTTTAGAATATATTTCATATATAACAACTAATTGCTTTCGATTATATATTATACTTTTGTTATCGCTAATCGCTCAGTACAACGATATTCTTGAATGATCGTTTACGTTATAGCGAACTTTTGCGTTGCAAAAGCAATCCTAATCAAAAAATGAAACTCAACGTAACAGCATTGGCACTAGAACACGATCTTATCTTTTTTATCTTCTAAATCAAAAATAATATTCCATTTTAAAGTATTTTTATTCATGAAATAAACGAATAAATGAAATATTGAGTCGACCAATAAGTAATAAGTTTTTGCTATTTTTAGAACAAAAAGATTGTTTGAAATCTATAAAAAGCACGTGTAGTCTGAAAACGGAGATTCTAAAGTGTAATTTAAAAAAAAAATAAAGAGTTCATTATTGTTGGTTAAAGTTTGTAGTATTTATTCGAATTTGAAGATAAACAACGAAAAGGTGTATTTTCGTGCGATTATGTTTGTTTTTTCATTTTAGTTAATGAAAAACTGCTGAAAACAAACTAACTGAAAACAGATAAAAAGATTTCTGTTGTTAACGATGATAGTGCTGTGAATGAAAAAATGATACAAAGGCGGTTCGAAAAATTTCAGTCTGTAGATTTTAGTCTTACCGATGATAAATGTTTTAGCAGATCTATTTGGATTGATAATTAACGATCAAATCTAATTAAAAAGTAATCGCAAGACAGAATATCGAAATATTAGGAGTATTGAAATTTAGCGTTACGACGAACTATTTGCATCGAATTGGTATAATTTCCAAACGACTTTACTTATTGATCAATCTAATAAATATGTTATGTGTACTTTAAGTAGAGACACAGTATCGACTCGTGTAATAATTTAACGTATTAATACGTATATAGAAAGAAAAACAAGAGAAAGAGAAAGACCACAGACAACTGAAACAAACTCTTGAAATTAATACTAATGAATTAATGAATTATAAATTAATGATATACGAAATATTGAATGTGGATCACTTTGCAAGTCGTGTTCAGTTTGTGCCTGGGTTTTAGTCGAGCAAAAGAAGAAGAAAAAGAAGAAGAAGAAGAAGAAGAAGAAGAGGAAGAGGAAGAGAAAGAGGAAAAGAAGGAAACGATATCAGGGCGTCGTCGGCACGTCAAAGTGCCTAGCATCACGAGGAAACACTCGAAATAGAGGTGGTTAAAGAAGAAGATCAAGAAAAAGCTCACTGCGGATTATACACAGCGTCGATATATCGTACTTTTGTATATAAGGCGGGACCTCCGCATTCGAATTTGCCAGGGTAAACAGGTTTCTAGGTCATCTTCGAACAGATTTTTGGCATGTGAACGTTAACGGAGATCTCTCTCCTTCTCTTCTTCTCTTCCTCTCTTTCTTTCTCTCTTTCTCTCTCTCTCTCTCTCTCTTCTTAGGTTGGCTAGTTCGTGAAATTTCGAGAAGCCAACGGCCCAGCTTTGCGTATAACGCGAATACTCTTGATTATCGAGAGTCAGCCAAGTTCTTGTAGGGTTTCATTTTCTATAACGGGTCACGCTACCCTGATCGGTCTTTACTCTCTCCCTCTTTTTCCCCCTAATTTATTTATTTATTTTTTTCTTGTCAAGTATATCCTCGTAATGTAGGAATTTTCTAGTAGCTTAGTCCTTTATTAGGTTTCATTTTATTGTGATTTCGGCCAACAAGGGCAATAGCCTATTATTTTTAATGCGTGCGTGTGCATTTCTCTCTCGTTCTCTCTCTCTCTCTCTCTTTTTTTCAAGGATACCAATCTTAAATCTTGACGAGCTATAAGACATTAAGTGAGTTAAAAGTTAGTTAGCTATTTTACATTTGAATTATTCTTTTTCGAGACTCTTTAAAGATGAAACTTTGTCTGTAGGTTGTAAAAGTACAAAAGTAGAAAGTCACTTGAAAGAGTAATTGACTTTTAAAATGAGGTAGTAACATTTTTGGCCTACCCTATACATAGCCAACTAATTTAGCTAGCCAAATTTACCAAGTTTTCTTGCTCATTCTAGCTCCTTCTTGTTCATCAACAGTATCTTCTTCGTCATTTATAGACTAGCAAGGCTTAGAGCTTGCTCGTAAAGCTTTCTCATAGGTCTTTGAGTAAAAGCTTTGGTGTTGCCTTGACGTAATTGATTTCGTAGAGTGACTAGATACCCGTGGAGAAAGGTCGCGCCGTTGTTGTATTAGATGATAATGATCGAAAAGCGAAAGAGAAGAACACGTACACAAAACACACACACACACACATATACTTGTACATATATTATATACAGTGTTATAAAAAAGGGGTTCGATATTTGAAGAACTTATAGTACTCACTGAGATAAATAAAAAATTAACATGAGTCCTAATATCAACCCTTTATTTATGAACGTTCAATATCATAAGCGAATCTTTCAATAACATAGTGAACTTATGCAGAGAAATTTGTTCAAAAATACAGGGCATCTATAAACATTGTGAGTATATTCTACTCTCAAAAATAAGAAAAAAATGTTATATAAACATTAGTCATTTAAACCATATATAAGTGTGTTGTGCGAAACGGTATCGAGGACTGGGGTAAAAGAGCAAACTTATCGGGAGAAAAGTCTACTGACCCATATTATCAAACGACCAGCTTTAAAATCAATGTTGGATTCGTTAGAAATGCGAATGACGTTCAAAACGTATTTTCATTTCTTCCCTTTCGTAATATGCCAAACGACAATGAGGCTATCCGAGTAAACTTTCAAGAAGTGTGTCTTGCTTGCTACATTTTTCTACATTTTTCAAAATCTACTATGAATAATGTAAACGGGATCGATGTCCAAGTAGTGGATATGGGAAGAAATAAAATCTTTTAAATTCTTATATAGAACTTAACTCGATATTATTCGATACTGCGTTTTATATTAATTTAATATTATAATAAATGATGTCAACATTTGAATAAGTAATGAAAAATTACTTTAACGTAAGAGAGATCTTAAGCGAGTCTTATTATAACGGAAAAGACATTTTGTTAATTACATTTCTTTCGATTAATTAAATGGAGTATTATATGTCAGAGATGACTCAAGAATTCAACAGAAAACTAAATACTGTTGTCACGTAAGCGATGACCTCATAGTGCAAAAGGTTAACATTCCATTCATTTTCTTTTTCATAAGTCATTAAAATGACAAATTACTCGACGCTCATTCTTTCAATACCGATATTACCGATACTGATAATTCCTTTTAAAACAAATTATGCACTTATACCTATTAAGGAATAAAAAAGAAAGAAAAAAAACGGTAAAGATTCGTATAAAATACACATTTAATCTTTCTTTTTATGATTTGATTCAAATCATTTTCCATATAGATATTCATAATTACAAAGAAGCTTACAGGAGGCGTAACTTTAATATTGAATTACTATAAGGAGAGTGTAGGACCTTTCCATTTCATTTGCGAGACCGAAGGGTTAAGATTAAAAAATAAAGAAAAGGAATGAGATCTTAGAAAGAGGGTTTCTGACTAGTGTCTTGCCTATATTTACCCATCGTTCAATCAAATATTCTCATGTCATGCATACTTTCATTATGAAATAATAGAAGAAGAAACAAGAATGAGAGTGAGAGAAAGAGAGAAATAAGAGTTCGATATGCGAGGTATCAATTAGTCGGTATATCGATTAACAAGGTTCTTTTATAATACCAAAATTTGGAGATCGAGTTATAAACGCACACATGGCAACTTAAATCCTTTCATCATTTAATCAAATATTCTCATGTTACGTATACTTTCATTACAAGGTAATAGAAGATGAAGATAAAGAAAAAGAAGAAGAAGAAGAAGAAGAAGAAGTGAAAACGAGAGAGAGAGAGAGAGAGGGAGAGAGAAATGAGAGGTGGATATGCAAGGTATCAATTAGTCAGTATATCGATTAACAAAGTTCTCTTATAACATCAAAAGTCGAAGATGAAGTAATAAACGCGCACGTGGCAATTTAAGTCTCTTTCTTCCTCTTTTTCTCATTTATTCAGTTACTCACTCACACACTGATTTCCGAAAGCGACGTAGAGAGATGCTAAGCGAACGTCCTTCGACGAGAGTACGATCGATGCCGCTTTTATCGCGAGACTCGTCGTATTCAGACGCTAACGCGTGCGAGTTTCTTCTATTTGCAAACGTTCTTATTTTATTGAAAAATTCAATTATTTATTACGCAAGTAATATAAGAACTTAAACGCGTTCTATAATACAAATGAATATATATACAAATTTTTCATTATATTTCCCCATAAAAGTAATATAACATGCTCTAGAAAAATAGAAAAAAAGTAAATAAAACATATACTTTACAATAACAAAAGTGAGAAATAAAATTGAAATTAAAATTAATAAAAAAAATAAGTTAATCGAGCGAGACTCGATCAGGCCACATCGCGGTAAGGAGTTTGCGCCGTTATGCATTACGGCATGAAAAATAATAATTCTAAAAATATTAGTAAAATTTGTTCGTTCGATATTTTGGAAAGGGTTGAATATCTGCACTTACTCCTGAGATGCAATGTATAGTCTTAACGGATTCTTACAAATGTGTAAAGTTTCCAAAAAATCTGAGGGTTGCGAGATTTGTCGAGCCCTTGTTAGTGATATTCTATCTTTGAATATCGAGTGATTCCTGGTGTCGAAGGTAGAGTCGAAGGAAACCAAAAAGATTCGCACGCGCGACTCGTAGGCGGCAGGTGAGCTTCGATAAAGCGAGAGAGAGAAAGAAAGAGAGACGATTGACGCGCGTGGGTGGTTGGTCATGGAATTATACGTCGAGCGTAGTCTGCCTGTAGCAGGAAAAGTGGGAAAAGCTAGCAAAGGAGAGAGAGAGAGAGAGAGTGAGAGAAAGGGACGAGGACGAAAAGGGGTAGGTGGGTGTCGAGAAGGAAAAGGCGAAGGTGGGATAACGAGTCGAGTTGAGCTGAACCGGCGCGGCTGTGGCACATGCGCGCCTTTTCCGGATTATCTCTACGACTTTTAGACACGGCAGTCCAATTGAGACCGTTCTACCGTACGCACCGTTCACTAATTCGCACCTAATTCGGACACACCAAGTTCCTCTTTCCTTTTCGTACATTATTATCTCAGTGTTTGTCTGTCTGTCTTTCTGTCTCTCCGTCTGTCCGTTTATTCATTATTTTTTATTCATTAATAATCCGTTAGTTGTTTATCTTTTTCACTAATCATTCGATTCTCATCTTTCTACTATTATTCCTCTGTTCGTTTGTCTCTATTCGACGGTAAAAAAAGAAATAAGTCTAGGAGGAGTTTGAGGGTAACGCGCGCGCGCGCGAAAACTCGACTGCTGTTACTACTGCCGTTGCTGCTGATTATCGATGAGAGTAGTATACGCCGTCGCTAGCCGGTCAGCGGCACCATCGTCGTCGACGTTAACAACGACGATGCATTTGGGTGCGTTTTTTATGCTCCTTGGTTTATAAGAAAAGAGAGATCTAAGAGAAAACGACGTGACGTGTTAAGACCAACAAAAAAACAAACGATAAAAAAGAGAATACATTCGGCGTAGATGATAATGATGATGATGATTATTATTATTATTATTATTTTATTATATTAGCGATATTGATATAAAAATAAAAATTCATTTAAACGGAATTTGTTATTATCGTAAATAAGTTGATGTCTCGTACATTTCTCTTCGATCGTCTCGTTTGAGAGACGCAGGAAGACAGGGAGCTGTTGCAACAGCGACGGCGGCCCGAGTGGGTGGTGGTGGAGAAGGAGGAGGCGGTAGAAGGGGAAGGCAAAATGGGGAAGGAGGGGTGGTAGTGGTGGTGGTAGTAGTGATGATGGTAGAGGAGGTGGTGGAAAAGCAGATGTAGTAGGTGTAACGTCGCCGTCGTCGCCGTCGCCGTCGTCGCCGTCGCCGTCGTCGTCGTCGTCGCCGTCGTTGTCGTCGCCGTCGTCGTCGTCGTCGTCGTCGTTGTCGTCGTCGCCGCCGCCGCCGCCGTCGTCATCGTCGTCGNAAACAAAATCGAAGAATTATTAACAATTTTAAGATCGTAGATAAGGTCTAATCGTGATTATAGAGTTGCGTCGTCGTCGTCGTCGTTGTCGTCGTCGCCGCCGCCGCCGCCGTCGTCATCGTCGTCGTCGTCATCGTCGTCGTCGTCGTCGTCGTCGTAACGCGACGAACGAGTAGTAGTAGTGACACGACGAAACTAAGTGGCCGCGAACGTGAGTCGGGTACGATACGTAACCACCGCGAATCTCGTGAACGAGGAAGTGCGTGCGTGAGAGTAGTAAAACTACTTTGGGGAGGAGGAAGAGGAAGAAGAGAAGAAGTGCAAGTAGAAAGAGGAAACGGAAGCGGAAGTGGAAGAAGAGGAAGAACAGGAGGAGGAGGAGGAAAGAAGGAGAGGAAGGAGGAGGGGAAAGGGGAAAAGAAAAGGATTCCTACTGCTCCTCCGTCGTTTGCCCTCCCTTATTTTCTTTCTACCTCCCTCTCCGACGAGTCGTGGTCGACGTCGTCGTCGTCGTCTTCGTCCTCGTTGATTTGGTTGTCGCTGCTGTTCGTCCAGTTAGGTTTCGTGCGGCGACACTTCCTACGCGTACGGTTTTTCTCTATTTTTTAGTTTGACTAGTCGAGTCGAATCGAGTCAAATCGAATCGAGTCGAGCCCGGTCTTAATAGTTTGTCATCGTCGTCGTCGTCGGGGCAGCAGCGGCGACAAGCGGCGGCGGCCGACAACATAGAGCGTCGTCGTCGTAGTCGTCGTCGTTGTTGTCGTCGTTGTCGTCGTCGTCGTCGTCTTCGTCGTCGTCGTTGTCGTCATCGTCATCGTCGTCCTCCTCCTTCTCCTCCTCTTCCTCGGCTCGTCCACGTCCGTGTCCGTGATCTCAGGAGATTGGACGAGTGCGGTGCGCGCGATCCCTTATTTTTTTTCTCTCTCATCTAGGGAATCGAACGGGGCGATTCGTTGGCGGCAAACACAACGGCGGAGTGCTTAGAAATCGCGAATAAATGTGTCGGTCACGGTATAAGACGTGAGAGAAGAGAAGCGGGGGCCACCGGCAAGCCGAGGTTTATTTTTAGTGGCAAGCGCCAAGCAGCAAGCGGAGTGGTATAAACGGCGCGCACAGTGGCCCGATGAAGCGGCGTTTGTGACATCAAATTTCTCCTCTCTTGCCACCTCGAGAACGAACACCCCGAGACATCTCGCCGTCGGACCATCCACGGTGAGTATTCGATTGATTCCGACTCGCGACCAAGTACCCGCCCCCTTTCCAACCTCCATGCTAACCTCCACCCATCCCTTCTCGAGAAAGAGAAAGAGAGTGTAGGTGTCTTCTCTCTCTCTCTCTTTTTCTTTCTCTTTCTCTCTTTTTAGCCCCTTTCTCTCTCCCCTCGTCGTTCCGACATTCGCTCGACCAACCAACCGACCACAACCACCCCCACCAGGGTGGCTTGCACTCAGCCAAGGAGAAGCGGAACAAGAGGAAGACGATGAAGAGAAAGAAGAAGAGGAAAGAGAGAAAGATAGTGCTCCTCGATCGCAGGTGGAATTGTGAAAATTATGTAACGACCGCCGGCTCCGGGTCCGGCCAGGGCCACCGAAAGATGCTTTTCCTCTTTCCTCTCTTGCGCATCTCTCTCTCTCTTCCTCTCTCTTACACGCACGCATACACACACGCACGCTTCCTCCTTCTCCACTTCCTCCTTCATCTTTCCTTCTCTTAACCTTCCTCTTTCTCTCTCTCTCTCTTTCTCTCAGCCGCCACCCCTTCTCAACGAACATTATTTCGGGAGTGCCAGGCCAGGCATAGCCTCGAGGTTACTCGTATGCTTTCTGTCGTTACTGTTACTTCCACTTCTGCTGGTACTGTTGCTGTTGCTGCTACTTCTGCTGCTATTGCTGCTACTGCTACTTCTGCTGCTGCTGTTGCTGCTGCTGCTATTCTACAATACGTACTATGAGCGTTGTCGTCTCCGTGCGTCCCGGGATCGAGCAGGCGCATTATTCCCAGAACCCTGAGCGCGGTTTTACTCTAGAATGTTCCTGCTCCCACTGCTTCGTGACTACGTTATCCAAAATTTTTTAACCAAGGGGAATTGTTTGAAAAACTAAGACCTAATCTTTATATTCTATATTCCATTCCTTCTATCTTTATTTTTTCTCTCTCTCTCTTTCTTTCTCTCCCTTTTTCATTTTTCTTTTTATGTTATCATAAGATATTGGAAAAAAGTGAAAAAAATAAGTCCAATAAGCTAAAGATTTAGCTTTTTCCTCTCCCTACTATTTAGTTCTTTTTCCATTCGATGTGTTCTTCGATAGCAAGATAGGAACGAGACCCGCCTTTGTCCTGCTTTCATGGTATCGACCCTACACGGCTGACCTAGACTCACTTACATTTTCCAAGCCTATCTACTACTCGCTGATCCAATATCCTCTCTCTATTTCTCTCTGACAAACATTATCCTCTTTACATCTATCCATCCATCCATCCATCCATCCATCCATCCATCCATCCATCCATCCATCCATCCATCCACCCATCCCCCTATTTATTTCTTTTTCTTTTTATTTCTTCCTTTATCTCTCCATCGTCAAAGTTCAAATGAAATTGCTAACTTTTCGTAAAAATCGGTGACGACGACGACGACGACGACGACGAGAATGACAACGACGACGACGACAACGACGACGACGACAACGACGACGACGACAACGACGACGACGAGACTAGACGACGACTACACTACGACAAAAGTATAGTACATTATAGTAGGAGCTTGCGCGCGAGAATCTGGGATACACTAACATCGTCGATATTTACGACGCTTTCCTCTTCTAACACATTCGCGGACCGAGAAAGAAATTGATAAAATCTCAGCAATATGGGCGGGGATTCTTGGAAACGCGTTAACGCGTCTTGGCACGTCTTCGCGACCAACGAATACTCGCGAGAAAGAGAGAGAGAGAGAGAGAGAGAGAGAGAGAGAGAGAGAAAGAGAGAGAAAGAGAGAGGGAGAGAGAGAAACGGAGAGACAGACAGACAGACAGACAGAGATATGCCTTACGGCATCTCTTTAACATTCGAGTTTCTTCACCCGGATTATATATCTTCTTTTCTATTTTTCATTCCTGTTCGAATTCTTTCTTACATACATATACATCCATACATATACAGGGTGAGTCAGAATTAACTAGACATCTGAATATCTCTGTTGGATTTAAAGTTAAAGAGTATGTCTAATTGTAAATCAAAATCAAAATGGTTTCGAAGGACGCACATGGTTATTAACGTTTCTTTATATGAAATTTTTTTCCCATACATTATTGTAGTGGATCCTTAAACGAATATGTATATATATATATATACCTATGCTTTGATCAAATTATATAATACGCACTAAAGTATTGATTGAAAAATAAGCTGGTGGAGAATTATGTTAATATATAAATAATATATTTTGAAATATATTGTATTATAAATAATATATACACAAAATATATTCAAAATATAAACAATTCTATTTAATATATAAATATAATATACTTTTATATATTTAAAAAAAAAATATATGTATATAGGAATCCAACCAATATTCGATCTATTTTCCCGGATATTTTTATTACATTCTGTAAATGCGAAACTTACCAAATACGATAGAAAGATCAAATATTTGTCTTTCATTTTCTTTGACTTTGTTCTTCTTCTTCAGTTTTCAAATTCGTTTATTTGTATTCTCTTTCTCTCCCGTATAGACATTGGCAAAGTTTAGATATTTATTGAAAAAACATACTATACCTGAGGGCATTTGTCCGAGTACTTTACTATAATTTACCGTTATAATTCAACGTTTTATCAGCCGACTTACTACTTTGAAATATTACCACTGTCTTATTGATCCGTCCGACCGTGCGCTTGGCCTTCAAAATTGTCCAACTATCAATATTATAGACGTATCGATGCGTCTAAACGTGATATCTTTACCATGCCTTACGTTTACCATGCCTTTCTTTGTAATATTTTTATATCTACACTATATACTCTTTCTATATATTAAAATACACGCGTATATCTATATACTGGATGGATCAAGGGAGATTTTCTAACGTTTAAAAGGGACTCAAAGATTAAAAGCACCAGTCAATGATTTTGAAAATCATTTGAAAAACTTTTAGTCCACCTTGTATTTGTGGTAAGAAAATGTAAACGAGTTAACGTGTTAAAGTTAAACAACTAAGATTTATACGATCGTAATCGGGGCTATTGTAATCGATGACTTTGTTCTTAGAAAAGCACTGTGAGCCTAGAGGTGTTTATAGGTCGAGTAAAACGTTTTTCGTAGCTATCTATGTGTTCACAATTTACTTTCGTTGTAGTTACTATTAGAGAAGACCCTGGTCTGTCTAGTTATATTTTTCTTTCGTCATTTCTTTATCTCAAATTGGTTCTATAGATAATACTTCTATGGTCCTTTTTATCAACTTTTTCATACGAGTTAAACATCATTTTCTCTATGTCTTATTCAAATTATTTGTTACGTGTTACTTGTTACATTTTTTTTAACTTTATTTAGAAAGGAAATAATTAAATGGAAACGTTAGTGAAGTTTAGCCCAGAAAAATGATATTAAATTAGAAAGGTGACTCGTAATTGTTAAGCTTATCTGTCCGCTATCAAACTTTAGTTTTTATTTTATTTTAATAATACCTGTAACAAACGATAACATTATATTTTATTTTCTTTACAAATTTAGTTTCATTTTTTGCATCATAAAATTTCGCACAAATTATCTGCCCTCTTTTTTCTTTTTTTCTTTTCATTGCTTTTTTAATTACCTGTAAAGTTTTACAACGTGTATTTTTCTCCCCTAAGTCCTGTGAAACCGCAACATATTGTACACGCGACAAAAAATAAGAGAAAAGAGGAAGCATGCTAACTGCTAGGTTTATTCAATAATAAATTAGTATTCTTAAGGTAACATAAATTCGGATAGCCATGACTAATGAACAAAATGATAATACTTATTTCATATTTCCAGATGTATATACGTATATACGTAAATGAAAAGTAGCCGAGAACGCGCGTTAATGGATGATTCGAAAACTAGGACGAGGTGAAATGTTGTTACCTTCTTATTATCAATGTTTTCACGTTAATGTCGATAATATCTTTGACGTAATAAATCGATTACATCGAAAACCTTTCGTTGTTGGATTAAAGAATTCAACGATCGATAGGAAAGAGAAAAGAAAAACAAAGTGTCACGTGTGAGTTTGAATGATCGATTCGTAGATCGGCTGATATATTTCGATTGATTTAGGTTTTCGATAAGGTTAGTACAGTAAAGCGGTTTTTAATTAAAAGTCCACTTTCATTCGATAAATTTGAAAACTTATCATCGGGAAAAATTTCAATGTACAAAAAGGGACAAAAATGGACGAATTATTGATCTTTCGCAACGATATAAAATATATATATATTTTTTTTTGTATTTCGATGTATATTACGTGTAGAAATTAATTCGATGCCATGATATCATATATTCATTACCATTGATATTCATGTATTCAAAATCGGCATCTTTTCCTTTTTACTTTTTTTTTGTTTCGTCAAGTAATTCAACATTTGGTGATTATTTCGAAAAATAACCAAAACGCATGATCATATTTATTAATAAAACATACTGTGAATATGTTTAAAAAAGACGAATCGAATTAATTGATACAAGTAAAATACATCGTGCGTTTAAAAAACTTTGAATGAGAAAAATTAACCTGAAGGAGTATTATTCTTCTTGAAATTTTACGTGGCCTCGGTGATTCTTCGTGGTCTCTTGATGTTAAGCGCTTTACGTTTATTTTTAAATCGGGCATGTCGAACCCGTGACCCACGACAGAATTCCTCCTTACTGTTCCGATTTGATTCAATCTGAACTTCCTTTTTTTTGTTTTCTTTTTCTACAAACCGTGCGTACACATTTCCAAACGATTTTAAAAATCAATTTAATTCACACCGATTTGACGAATGTACCGCCAAAAAATATTTATACTATTAACGAAATATCAATATACGATATAATATAACTTAACTCTCCTCCATTTTGATTAGTTCTTTATGTTCTTCATTTCTACCATCTTGAAAATTGATTAGTTTCGGTTGATACTTCATTTCGGAATTAAATCCCTAATACTAGCGAGCGTTATACTTACGACTCAGACCTATCA